CATTAGAAAATCCGCAATTAGTGATGATCATTAGTAACCCTAACTATATGATTTTAATAGGCCGTTGCACACCCTAACTCCGAATACAATTAACCAATCACACAATTTATACTATTTAATTTTATTGTATTTTAAATCATTAATACGTACCGATTCTTTGTCAGTATAGATACCATACAAAAAAGGTGAAACTTACACCTTTTAAGTTACATTCTTTACGCCTAAATACTATTTAACGGTGATTTACATCAATAATGTAACCACCTCTGATGTAGTCTCATCCTATCATAAATCTTTTAATGTAACTGAAAAATAACTTAAATTATGATATTTAACCTACAATACAGGCAATAAATGAAATTACTATCCTTATCCCGTACCGGAGGCACGGGCTAACGTCTAATATAATATAAAATACTAGGAAAATGGAAACCATTTAAAGTCCGAAGGAACTAGAACGATTTTTATGTTACACCAAATCTAGCCAATAACATCGACTATCTATTGTTTTGATTGTTTTTCTTTTACATTACACCTGATCTAGCCAATCACAATCCAGAATTTGCTAACACACAGACATCGGATGTACTATCGCTCTACCTGTAATGTCCTTCGGACAATAATATTTTTTTAGCATTAAATTATATAGTAATTTCTATGTGCACTTTTAAATTTTAAAATGCCTACATTACATTATGCGACATTATGTTTTGCATAATGTAACGCGCATAATGCAAATTGCCCATTTCTAATCATAACCATATTGATGGCTTCTCGATCATAAGATACCCAGATATAGCAAATTCATGATTACAATATGAAAGACAAACCAACTGCCTTCCTCTTCAGATGATGTATTAGGCATTGTACCTGCAATTAACTTATAGTTAGCCTAGATTCCAATGAAAAATGATATTGTTAGACTTATCTCACAAAACTGCCTTCTTAGTGACATTAGGATCTGCTTCTAGACCTAGCGACCTGTATATAATAGAGTTAAAAACCTTACAGAAATCAGAATCTGGAATTTCAATTGCAATTACAGACCCTAAAGAAGTAAACATATCGATCTCTCATTGTGGAAACAGGAACATATCAAAGAAAATCTTCATTGATTACTATGAAGATTCAGAATTATGTCCAGCATCAGCCATACTAAAGCTACTGGAACTAACACAAGTATGAAGAACTTCTCTATCCCATCAAGATCACCTGTTTCTAACCACAACAGTACCTCATCGACCAGCTACAGTTGACACTATTTCTTGATGGCTAAAAAGCATCTTAACACAAGTGAACCCTCTAGCAAAGGCTAAGGATGTAAGATCATTTGCGGCTCTACTAGCACAAGACGCAGGAGCAGACATGTCCACGCTATTAGCTTTATTTAGGTAATTGGTCCAACTATTCTGTATATCAGAGATTCTATCAGCATCAAGAAGATGTTAGATGTCATCCCGAATATTGAACCAAGCAAGAACACTTCAATAAGTAATTAATTATCCAAAGTCTACACGTGATATTATATATCGGGGAGAGTGAAATGCATTTCAACCAATGGTCGAATATATATGAAGATCATTGAGAAATGTATGAACGAGCGAAGATATATAATAACATGTCGTTCCCCACCCAATACTTATTAACCTTATAAGCCAATTGCCCTCCCTCGCTAAGAAATTCATTAAAACGGCCTAGCGGGAGGGTAATCAGGTGAAACCTATATATATACAAAAAAATGTGTGTGGCTTAGTCTATGTAAAACTATCTCTAAAATCGGTAACTGTTGCTAATAAAATGGCTGTACTACACGTTATATTATATATCTTCGGGAAATCAACAAAAAAAAAGATCTTCGGAAAATCAATTTTTATGTTATAAATTTTATAATAAATCATAAGAAATTACAAATTTTAAAGAGCTGCACTGCAAAATTTTATTAATACAACTACTATTGTGTCATAAATGAAAAATGATCTTGATCTTATTCTAAATTAATTTATATAAAAAAAATCAATTTTAATAAATTTGTCAATTTCCCCATTTTCTATAGCACCTAGCCCATATATATTCGGCCATTTGTTGAAATTACCCATAACTTGTATGAAAATTTACGGTTCTACCACAAAATCCCGATATCCAAAATTTCGACAGGCCATAATACTGAAATCATGCGCCGTTACAATTAAAATTTAAAGTCTAACAATGATTGTTAATGCGATTACTAATCATTAAATATTAATTGTCACGTCAGCATTATGGTTTCGAGATTTTGGATGTCGGATTTTGTGGTAGAACCGAAAATTTACGATTACATGTACTGATTTCTAAATACAACGATCACGCAAAATTTTGCATTATACATTTTGCTTAGACGTATAACGCAAGTTTAATCAATTATCAAGATAGACAATATCTTGAGATAGATTGCATACGCTAATTAATTGCTATTTTACAAATACATATTGTTATATATATACTTCACTTGCGTTTCTGATTTCTAGCTTAATTGAGTTGCACAGCTATCTTATATAATGTTAACAAGTGGTAATTTAAAATGAAGTTAAAGCACCATGGAGAAAATAGGTCAATTTAAACAAGCATTATATTATATTGCCAAATAATCTCAAAATATAACATACATTCTAATTTGCTTGTTTAATTTTAGGGGGAACTCTTGGAAGCAGGGGGATAATGTTAAACGAAATTATAATTTCAAACTGCGTCGTATTGTAACAATAATAATAATAATAATAATGGGTCTGAAAGAAATATATGCTGAATTATTTTAGAAAAAGACTACGAATAACAAAATAATACGGTAAAATCTTATTTCACTTTCCTCATCATATATAAAGCCTTTATCAATGCCTGAAATCTCTTGGATGACGAAGCCCAATTGAGAAGGCACTTTCGTACCGAAAAGATTGA